CCATGCCCAAATGTTCGACCTGAAAATTATCACCAACCTCCAAAACGACACAAACACCCTAACTCGGTCATTCTAGGCACGGAGCTACCAGGAGGTCTGCTTACAGGACATGGTCGTTTTGGTTTCCTTGTCGGACTCGTTGAAAATGCCGTTGAGACACTTTTGGTTGCTGGCAGGTGCCTAGATAGCCAAGTTGCTATCACTTTGTTCAGTCACTGTGGCTGGTTTTTGGGGTAAAGTGCATGGAAAAAAACCGATCGCAACTGGCGATCCAGGGCCAAAAGGGGAACCCTCCAAAAAAGCGCCTGGTGTCAAAAGTCGTGGGGCTGGGCAAGGGGGATCAACAAACAATTATTTAGGGGATCAAAAAGCTGGCCTGCGGCAGGCGGTTCCTTTTTTTGGTTTCCCACCCCAAGGGCGATGCGTAAGGCCGCCTGCGGCCGCGGCCCGCCTCGGCGGAGAACTTGCACAAGGCCGCGTCGCAGGCGCAGCGCCGAAGCGCCCGCGGGTTGGGAGCTTCGCTCACCGATCCGGGTTGGGAAAACGAGCTATGATGAAGGTACGAATCTTTTGGGGATCCCTGAATTCAGGCTTTGGCAGTAAAGTTGGCAAATAGATTGGTATGAGTGTTAAATGGTTGTATCAGCCATTTCGGGGGGTCCCTAATTAAAAGAAGACCTACCCATGTGGGCATGGCGAAATTGCGGGACCCCTAAAAAATAGTTTCCTTTTTGGCTTGGTTTCGAACCAAGCTGCCAAGCTGCCAAGGGTACACTCAAAATGCGTGCTTCGGGGCTTCATGTCCCACGTTAATTGGGGCTGAAGCTCAGTATCCACGCGATGCTCGGTTTAACGGGGGTCCTGAACGAGTCAACATAGAGGAGAAACAGGCTTGTAACAGAGATGCCCCCCCCAACCAAGAGCCAACCTGAGTGGCTTCCTTTCGGCTTGCCTGGGTTTGCTTATGTCGCGGGGCTCGCCAGGCACGCTCGAGGCCTTCCTCGGTGCGGGGCTCGGTTCGGCTCGATTTGGCTCTGGGCAGGGGGGCAGAATGTTGTCCAGTTGGGTGTGTGTGTTGTTTGTGTGTCGCGAGGCGTTTTTTTTTCTTCCTCTTTTTCGGAATCATAGGGATCCTGTGCACGAATCCTGCTTCCAATAGTGTGTGTGTGTGTGGTTTGTGTGTGTGCATTTTTGGGGGCAACCGGTGCAACTAGTTGTTTGTGGTTTTTCCTTTGGAAAACCCACAGCAGCAACCACCATTTTGGGGGTCCCCCTATTCTGATATAACCCCAGTTGGTGACTCTCTGCCAACCATTTTCTGCGACATGCGCAACCCTCCCCCCCTACGTCTATCCCGATGTGCAACGATTGCATGGACTCAAGGAATCCTCTCGAGCGTTTCTGCGCCAACGGGCAGCGCGGACGGTTTGGACCCTGCAAGTGCAGGAGCCGCATGACTTTTGACACCTGGTGCATTTGAGGGCGTCTTTTTGGAGGGTCCCCGTTACTTTTGTAGGTTTGAAGGGACGCCAAGAGGGAAAACCACCATTTTGAGGGGTGCCCTAAACCAAGGCTGTCGCGGAGCAAATGAGCAGCAGCAAAGTGGAGGTTTCCCAGCACCCAGTCAGGTATGCAGAACTGGCACGTACGGTGGAGAGACAGAAGGAGGAGAGATTTATATATATCTATACATAGATACATACACCCCAAATAGTGCAAGCGACCCCACCAGAACAACCTGAAGGCAAATCACAGGGTCAATCGGCGAAGCGGTTCCCTTGTTCCCCTTGCAATATGGCAGGAATCGGCATCGGTAGCAATCGCCTGTACCTTTTTGCGGCTCCTCGAATAATTGAACTGCAGCATCCGAGGAATGGCCACTGAGATTGCTGGTTGGAGTTTCCAACCGTGCAAAAACGCAACCGGGTTGTCTTTTTATTCTTCTCATTTGGGAACGTACGCTTTCCTTGTTTCCTCAACTTAAGTAGGTCGCCCAGTAGTGAAATTGACTACAGAAAAAAGGGTACCCTTATTCTAACCTCTCTACTGGCGGACCTAGTTAACATTGCCAACAACACACGGGTGCGGTTTTTCGCTGGAGAGACACCTGATGTCCATTTTGGGGTCCCCCTTCTGACGCCACGCCACTGGTTCTCAAAGGCGCGTCTCTCGCGGGTGCCCGGAGCCCCAAAACTCCGTTCGTTCCAGTCGGCCCGGGAAGGTCTCCGAAGCCAAGGCGAAGACTTGCGGTCAAGGGGGACGAAAGGACCTGTGAACTTCCATTTTGGTGAATCATGTTGACCCAAAATATCAATGAACCCCAGTTTTGTACAAGGGGGGTGTTCCCCTGGTCTCATTCCCCACTAAATTGACGGATAGGCCCCCTAACAAGAAACTGGAGTTGATGAATATGGGGTCAACAATTATAACCTGGGCTTTCAATCTCCAAACCAATCCAAGCAACTGATGGCTGTGTTCCGGGGGAAACAAACCAGTGTTTGGTGAATATGTTTGGGCTTGGACCCATTGCCCTGTCAGGTGGCATGTCGAGGTGGAAGAGAGGGTCCCCCTCTCAGTTTTAAAGGGAATCGATTTCACCGCTGCAAATATGTTCTCTCATTTTCCCCCAGAAAAAACGAACAGGCAAATGGCCCAAAAGGTCAGATGTCTTTCCCATGAACCTGTCAAGCTTTTGGCTTCCCTGATTTCGGCTTTCCATGTTTGGACGATTCAAAATGTCGACCTTTTATTGCTGGGTCCTTGGGCAAGTGAGGGTGGGGTTCCCGTACCGACTGAATAGCCCATGTGGGTTTAAACGAGAAACCAAAAGAACCAACCATCTCTTTGGGGCCCCAATTTTGAGGAATGGCTGAAGGAAGACAAACGGGGATCGGCATCTTTCAAATTTCCAGACGCCTTGTTCCGCTTCCAGGACTTTTGCCCTCTCTTGGACTTTTGACTACAAAAGGTACTCTTACAGGAAACTCATCTGTTGGTTTTGGTTTTAATTTTCTTGTAACCAGCACTAAGGTGTTTGAAGTTTGACATGTTCTAGACTTGGCAATGATGTAAGGGAGACATGGGAAACACCGCAAGCCGACGTGCGCCGCATTTGCACCTGCAACCAACACATCGACCAAATTTTCCGGATCTGGTTTGCGACCATGCCTTCAAGCAGTTGTGCTGCAGGCTACTCAAGAAATCTGGATTCTCCTAGCTCCGTGCTGAGGAGCACCGCAAGCGCGCCGTCTAGGACTGCAGGGTGCGTGTGGGTTGGGCGCTTTCAGAATGCTGGACGGGTTGGGAGATGGCTCAGGGCGGTTGGCATGAACCGTACTCTGACTGAAACAGTAACATGGGTGTGCCTTTTTCCCGAGAGCTTGGGGTTGAATTTGCCGCATTTCAGTGCTGTCAAGAAACTCACCCCCCAGGAGGGGACCAAAAGGGAAACCACCATTTTGGGGGGGTCCAACCTGAAAAAGACGAGTCACACACATGAAAGCCCTAACAACGGATCCCAGGGGCTGGATGTGCCCCGAAGGCCAAGCTGGATACCCGTGATTCCCTTGCACTTTGGGGATGCGCGTTCCCACTCAGATGGCTCAGCCAGGCCCAAGTTATCCCCTAGTTCACTCCCAGTCAACCCCCAGTTCACCTCCCAGTTCACCAGTTGTCCCGAGTTCACCTCCAGCTTTTACCCCCTGTTAACCCCTGCAACTTGGGTTTACTAAGCGTATAGCCAACTTCCAAGCCATTTTAACCCCTGCAACTTGGGTTTACTAAGCGTATAGCCAACTTCCAAGCCATTCAAACAGCCTTGATGGATGCGCAGGACGGTGGTGGGCAAGGTACGCTGTGACCAGCTCATCTCCCGTCACCTGCCGGAGCGGGAGGCACGTCGATACGCGGCACGGACGCGAGAGCGCGGTGAATCGAGGCATTAGCCCGGGTTTGTTGGGGGAAATTCAAGGGTGTCCAAACCAGGACCGTTTTTTAGGACTTTACATTTATACTTGTTGGAAAAACCATTTAGTGGTAAATCAACAATGTGCATTTTTTTGGGGAAGTGAGTGTGTCAAGGGAGGCTAAGAGACCACTCTGCAATTCCAAGGGGTATGCGGCATGCGTCTGACTCTTTGGGCAATGTCATCCTGGCGCAATTTTGGGGGAAGCCTCGTCTTGGTTGTCCAAAGCGAATTGACCTTTTGGATGTCCTTCATTTTTACAGGAATTTGACCCCCGCTTTGACTTCCCTCCGTTGCTTTGCGTGGGAGGTAGCCCTCCCGAAGTGAGAAGCAGGCGAGAAGCACGCGAGTTCTGCTTAACAAGCGACAGCTGCTGGGCGCGACGTGGAGGCCTCCCTGAGATGTTGGTCTCAAGATGCCATGCCCAGAGCCTCCCGGCTCAAGCCAAGGCGAAGCATGAAGCCTCACAGCTACTGGGCATGGCTCAAGCCAGACAGGGGAAGCCCCCAACAAAACCCGTTTGGGTTGGTTAAAGCATCGCCTTCTGGGACAGGAAAAAGTGAGTTTCCTTTGGGCGGGCTGATGTATAAAGAGGAAAAATAGGTAAGCCTACCAGCTTTTACGAACGCAACCGACGGTTTTCCCCCTCCCGGCTGCCACTCTGATTATCTGATTCAACCGGCGGTCTGCCTGGTTATCGTTTTGGGCACGCATCGGCATCGGCTTCATTTTAATGAGGGCGGCAGGGGACCCTGTGCTTCCAACCGCAAGCATTTTGTGACCACCTCTTAGTCTCTTGGTTTGCGGGCACAAGAAGCAGGTTGGGGGTGAAAACAGGCTCCCCATCTACCAATTTCAATGGCACTTGCGCTTCCATTGAATTTGTGTAGGAGCCCAGCCCAGCACCTTCTTACGACCCGAAAGTGGGTGAGAGGGGAGCCGCCTTGCGCAGACTTTCGCGCCTGTCCCCCACCCCCCCAACCCTGAAGGCCCCCAAGCCGCAGGCCCCCAGCTGCCATCGTTTCCGCGCCCGCCATGTCGGCGGTGTCGCGCCGCGCCGCGTTCGACATCGGCTCGGGGGCGACCAAGCTGATGATCGCGGACGTGGTGGGCTCCGCCATTGTCAAGGACCGGGAAATGTTGACCCCAGATTACCCTCCCTCCCACTATCGTAGCACCTGACAGGGGTTCCCTTGAAGAGGAAGTTAGTCTTCCAGGTGCCCTCCCACAAATGCCATGTTAGTGGGAGGAAGGGACATCATTCGGGTGGGGATCCATGTGCGCCAACCACTTTTGAGGCGATGTCCTATTGAAATTTACGGCCACATGCGTCCACCATGGCTGGTTTCCCCATAATGTTGACCCCGGACTACTCAACCCCAGTTTACCTATGGGGGGGGTGCTCCCCCTCTCCGAAAGTGATCATTCCACACATTCACCCAGGGACACCCCCCTATGAATGAACTGGGGTTGATTGATATGGGGTCAACATTACAGATTAGCTGGTGGAGCGCCAAGCACTCCAAATTGGCAAGACCCAAAAAGGGGGGGTCTAGCGAGTCATTTCCCAACGAGACGATGTTCCTCACAAGATGGAGGGGGCCCATACTGTGGATGGACGAAATCCATTTCGCACCACTTCGAAACCGTGGTTGAAACCATTTTTTGGCAGGATTTTGTCCAGCCACCGTAGCGGGAGCGATCCTTCTTAAGAAGGGCTACGGATTACTCGGGGGGTGGTGCACCAGGTTGAAAATCTCAGCCTCCCCCCACATGAATCTGAACAAACTATGAAACTCCTCGCATGGGGGTGAGGAACCAGTGCGGGGCCCACCATGAAGGTCCCTTACGTTGGGGATTTCTTGTCTCCGGCTTGCGGACCAAAGATTGCCCCCATATTCCCGAAAGCAGACCGCGAACCTTGTTGAACGGTTTCTTCAGCTGCGTTTGCCCGAAGAAATGGCCCAGAACGGCGGAGAAAAACGGCGAGGAGCAGGGAACCCCCCTAGCCGGTGGTTTGCATTTGGATTTTGAACCCCTGCTCCCTGTAGAGGATTTAGTTGGGAACCCCCCCTCCGGAAAGCCAACCCAAACCCAGCGATTTCGGCTCCAACCAGCGGGACCAAAAGCGGCGAGGAGCACTTCGCGCAAGAGGTGCCGGTGGCCTTCGCAGTGGACTGGAAGCAGTCCAGCGATGGGAACCTGAGCGCCGGCATCCAGGAGAAGGCGAAAACCGGGGGAGGGTGGAGGGTGGAGGGGGGACGCGGGATTAGTACACCCCTGTTTATGAATACAGGGGTGTCCCTTGGTTTTAGTGGGGATTTATGCATTTTGGAGGGGAACACTCTCATATTGAAAAACAGGGGTTTATTCATCCGGGGGGTGTCTCTGGGTGAAAAGTGGGGATTTCATGACCTTTTGGAGGGGCCGGCCATATCAGGGGATAGGTTTTAGTGAATCCGGGGTCAACATAAGGCGGGGGAAAGCAAAGGAAGACTAACTGGGGGGCAGGCTACGAATTGTGCTTTAACCTTTTGGTTTGGCAACCACTTTCCGTAAAGGTCCCGAACGCTTAACCTTCTGTTTCTAGATCGTTTGGGCAAGTGAGAAGCGGTCTTGCAATTGTAACTAGCCATGGTCCACTTACTTATGGTTGTAAAAACCCTAAGCTCTGAGTCTGAGTCTGAGTGGTTGTAGCCATGCGTAGAACCCACTTGCCATGGTAAGGCCTTAAGTTGCCAACCACTCGTCTGGTGACTAAGGGGGGGAGCCCGGCGGCAGCCTTCCGTTGGAAACAAGCCAACTGGGAACCAAGTTGAACGAAAGCACCAGGCGTATTGATAGGGCCTGCCGCCCAACGGTTTCGTTGGAAGCACTCCCATGATTGATCGTATCCGTTTTCAGGAAGCTTGTCCTGACCTTGCTCTCCCTCAGGGGGTCTTGTGCAGACATGTTTCCCGCGCAGCCGGGAAGCCGCTCCAGGACACCACCGGTTTTGACGAGGGTCCTTTTCGAGACACACCCGCATTTGAGTATCTGTGCGAAAATGGGTCTGTCTTGTTTGAGGGTCCCCCTTGTTTGTGGATTGGAAGGGAAAACCACCATCCCTTAGAAGTTTTGACCCACCCACACAAAACAGAGTTTTCCAGGTGTACATTCCCGTTCAAACCAGCATATGGACCAATCTTTCTGGAGCCGACCCTTTCCCCGGACTCCTCGTTCGGTTCCTCGGTTCGGGCTCGAGGGCCTGGCGGTGCTGCGGCGTTTGCTGGAGGAATGCGCGCGCCACGAAGTGCCACCTGGCGCCAAGTGCGCCGTAGCCACCGAGGTCTTCCGCAAGGCCAGCGGGCGGATTGCGAGTGGAGTCTGACAGGTTAGATGGCCGGTTTATGTACTGAGGGGGTGTCCATTTCTAGGTGAAATGTGGGGAATCAGGTCACTTTTGGAGGGGAAGCCCCCATTCAATAAACTGGGGTTGACTAATATGGGATCACGAGATCACCATCAAGTCTCGCCCGAGGCCCAAGGGTCGGCCGCCCCGAAAGGGCCTGAAGTGGAGCCGTTGGGTTTCTCCGTCGCTCGTCAAGGTTCCGAAAGGTGATCGCCTTATATTTCGGGGTTCCGAAGGGTCGGAGACATCTTTGAACTTAAAAACGTTGAAAGAGGAAGATTTAGCTCCCCAAGCCTAGGGTTGAAGGTCAACCAAAGCAAGTGGCAAGGCATTTTTGGACCTGCCATTGCCTCGTCCCGACATGCTTTCCTTTGCCATTTCGCGTGGGTTCACTTGTTTGGGGCCCAAGGTAGGAAGATCCCCAGGTGCAAACAGGGCAATCCAAGCCTCCAATCACTTGCTGGTGCTTCAGGATTTTGGTCGGGACAGGCTGGGAGCCCAAGGGCCCAGCAGCCTTTGACCCAGACATTGTGCCATGTTTTGGGCGTGTGGAGGGCACCCTCAATCGGCTTAAAGAGACACCTTGGGGAGACCGCTCGGTTTGATGGATTCAAAGCCCGTTCAGAGAACCTGCCGACGTCACTGACAGGATTTCTCAATGATCGCCCAAGCTGGTGGGGGCAGGTCTCTTCCATTTGCTCAATCATATATTTTTTTGCGGCTACTGGACATATTTTCTCATTTTGTCCAGGGGGCGCATCCGCAAACGCAAGCAGTCTGCCTTTTTCTTCGGTGGGAAGTCAAAATCCGACCGCATGGCCTTTGTCAGCAAAAATCGGCCAATTGGCACCTATGCGGTTCTCAATGAGAGGTTCCAAAAGCTGAGCCTTTTGTTTCTCAGTTTTTGTCATTTTTTTTCTGGAGGTGCCAGCCGCGTTTTTCGGATCCCCTGACGCCCAGGCAAACAACGGCTCCGCCTACTTGGACCTCGTGCTGCGGGAGCTGTCGTTGCCGGTACGTGCGCCTCGGTTCTAGATCTATTTGGTGGAGCGGGTGCGATTTCTATTTATTGCAACCCATTTTCCCTATAAGGAGGACTAGATAAATGGAATTGGGGACTGAAAATCTCCACCCCCACGCCCCTCAAGGTAGGGGCCAGGGGTCGTAAGCAGACTAAGACCATTTGTCCAAAGCGAATTTGCCTTTTAAGCTTTTCGGTTACCCTTGGTCCACGAGTCAAGGTCCAAAACGGCTGATCTTTCATTTGCCGGCCCTTTGAGAACTTCAAGCCGTTTTTTGAAAGCTGGGCAAACCATGGGACGAGTCTGCGAGTCAAGTGTTGTTGTTTTGGCTGGAACTTGAGTGCATGCAACGCTTGGCCCGATTTGGAGCCTTTGCCCATGGTCAAGGCAGCTCTGCTTGCAAGCAAGGCGGCCACCCAGGCGGCCACCCCGGCGGCCCTGCACGTTTCATCCTGAGTGTAGGTGAGGATCCCTGTTTCATCACCCATTTCTTGCTCGAGTTGAGGCTTCTTGCTCGTGCTTCTCTTGAGCCGCCTTTACTGGGCACGCCTGAGCCATGCCGCTCCCTGCGCCTTTGCGGAAACGGCGGGCCCCGGCCGCCCTTGTCTTCCTCGCCCTCGCCGGCCTCGGCGCGTCCGTTGCCTCGCTGGCGCCGGCGTGGTGGCGCCGGGGCCGCGCCAAGCGCCCGGGCAGCGTGGCGGAGGCGGAGCTCTTAGCGCAGCTGGCGCTGCGGCTGCAGCCCAAAGCTGAGCTCAAGGAGACCAGTTGGACGTGTCGCCCCCTATGTTTTACGACCTTTGAATTGCCAGATGAGTTGGTTTTGCAAGGTGCAGGTGTGGCTGAGTTTTAGCTCCCCTCGCGGCACGTGTTGTCGAACAGCTCGGACCTTGTTAGGTAGTCGGATGCTTCAGAATTCAACTCGCAGGCAAATTAAACCTCCAAAATATGCTGGGGCCTTGTGGTTCCTATGCTGGGGCCTTGTGGTTCCCTTCAGACTTTTAGTCACCATTTAGAGGTTATGTTTCGAGTTGCACTAAAATGGACCCAGTTTTGCTGAGACGCTAGGAGCTGTTCCGGCGCTTCCCGTCGCCCGAGAATTGGGGCGGGAACTACCTGGAGCCGGATCTGGCGATGTACGGGGTGCTGCGAGACCCAGAGGCTGCGCTCTTCGTGGAGTACGATGGGCGCCTCAGAAAGTCAGAAGTGAAGTCCTCTGGTTTTACGGGGGGGGGGGCGGGAAGAGGAAACGCTATGGGACCACCTGGTCTGGTGGAGTCCATTCTGTGATGGGTATCTTGTGCTTTTGCTTTTATGGGAGATGTAGGGAACCTTGTGGCAAGGAGGATCCTTGGGGCCTTGTACTCCCCTGCCTGGGTGTTTTAAACCTCCACTTCTCGGCCAGTTTTCACGGATTCGCCCCCCTAGAAGCGTGAGTTTGTTTTGCTTCCGCTAGAAGCCACCACGGGGTACGAATTTTTCGGATCCCCCCCCCTGGCTCAGGTATTGGAGGCATGCGGAAGAGGAGGGGATCGCCTTGGACACTGCGAAAAACGCGGCGCTGCTGGCGTACGCGCCTGAGGGATCCTATGTTGTGCGCATCAACCATGCTGCGCTCGAGGACGTGCAGCCGCAACAAAACGTAGTGTGGCTCACAGTGGTCGCTTGGCGCAGCGGCGACCACACGTCGCTCCTGGTGACGTTGGAGGATGTTCTGCGTCAGATTCACTTGTGCTTGGGAGGCCAGATCATGTGGAATCGACTGACCCATGGTGTGGGGGAGGAAGGTGGGGCGCTGTCAATCAGGGCAAGGGAGTTTTCAATTTCAGCTGCTGCGCGGGGCAACAGCACGGAAGAGATAGGACGCTTTCTGGCAATGCGGGGATATGATATTGGAGAAAAATGTTGGAACAAAGTGGGCTTGGTGAGTCTGAGCATTGAAGAACAGCTGGATCCGATGCTGCTGTGGTTGGAGGAGCAAGGCTTGAGCAAGGTCCAAATTCAGAAGGTGTTGGCTGGACAACCGCGCATCTTTAGATTAAACATCGAGGACACCTTGAAGCCCACCGCGGATTGGATTCTTGGCTTGGGCCTGAGCCAGGCCCAGCTTGCAAAGGTCGTGGCTGGCTTTCCGCAAATTCTGGGTTGCAGCATTGAGCAGAACTTGAAGCCTACGACTGATTGGATTCTTGGCTTGGGCTTGAGCCAGGCCCAGCTTGCAAAGGTCGTGGCAGCTTTCCCTTCCATTTTGGGATTGAGCATCGAGCAGAACTTGAAGCCTACAACTGATTGGATCCTTGGCTTGGGCTTGAGCCAGGCCCAGCTTGCAAAGGTCGTGGCCAGCAAGCCGCAAATTCTGGGTTGCAGCATTGAGCAGAACTTGAAGCCTACAACTGGTTGGATCCTTGGCTTGGGCTTGAGCCAGGCCCAGCTTGCAAAGGTCGTGGCAGCTTTCCCTTCCGTTTTGGGATTGAGCATCGAGCAGAACTTGAAGCCTACAACTGGTTGGATTCTTGGCTTGGGCTTGAGCCAGGCCCAGCTTGCAAAGGTCGTGGCCGGATGTCCGCACATTTTGGGTTGCAGCATCGAGCAGAACTTGAAGCCTACAACTGGTTGGATTCTTGGCTTGGGCTTGAGCCAGGCCCAGCTTGTAAAGGTCGTGGCCAGCAAGCCGCAAATTCTGGGTTACAGCATCGAGCAGAACTTGAAGCCTACAACTGATTGGATTCTCGGCTTGGGCTTGAGCCAGGCCCAGCTTGCAAAGGTCGTGGCAGCTTTCCCTTCCATTTTGGGATTGAGCATCGAGCAGAACTTGAAGCCTACAACTGATTGGATTCTTGGCTTGGGCTTGAGCCAGGCCCAGCTTGCAAAGGTCGTGGCCAGCAAGCCGCAAATTCTGGGTTGCAGCATTGAGCAGAACTTGAAGCCTACGACTGATTGGATTCTTGGCTTGGGCTTGAGCCAGGCCCAGCTTGCAAAGGTCGTGGCAGCTTTCCCTTCCATTTTGGGTTGAGCATCGAGCAGAACTTGAAGCCTACAACTGGTTGGATTCTTGGCTTGGGCTTGAGCCAGGCCCAGCTTGCAAAGGTCGTGGCAGCTTTCCCTTCTTGGGATTGAGCATCGAGCAGAACTTGAAGCCTACAACTGATTGGATTCTTGGCTTGGGCTTGAGCAAGGCCCAGCTTGCAAAGGTCGTGGCCGGCTTTCCACCCATCTTGGCTTTTAGCATCGAGCAGAACTTGAAGCCTACAACTGATTGGATCCTTGGCTTGGGCTTGAGCCAGGCCCAGCTTGCAAAGGTGGTGGCAGGCTTTCCACCCATCTTGGGATTGAGCATCGAGCAGAACTTGAAGCCTACAACTGATTGGATTCTCGGCTTGGGCTTGAGCAAGGCCCAGCTTGCAAAGGTCGTGGCCGGCTTTCCACCCATCTTGGCTTTTAGCATCGAGCAGAACTTGAAGCCTACAACTGATTGGATCCTTGGCTTGGGCTTGAGCCAGGCCCAGCTTGCAAAGGTGGTGGCAGGCTTTCCACCCATCTTGGGATTGAGCATCGAGCAGAACTTGAAGCCTACAACTGATTGGATTCTCGGCTTGGGCTTGAGCAAGGCCCAGCTTGCAAAGGTCGTGGCCGGCTTTCCACCCATCTTGGCTTATAGCATCGAGCAGAACTTGAAGCCTACAACTGATTGGATCCTTGGCTTGGGCTTGAGCCAGGCCCAGCTTGCAAAGGTCGTGGCCGGCTTTCCACGCATCTTGGGATTGAGCATTGATCAGAACTTGAAGCCCAAACTTAAGTTGCTTGGCTTGCAATTTTCAGAATTGGCCGTCTTAGAGCTGATCGCAAAGTGTCCGCGCGTGTTTTCTTACAGCTATCAACGCTTGACAAGTCGGCTGGCAGTTCTGTCAGCTGTCAACATGACGGCAAAGCTGCCATCAGCTCTAGCGCGGACTGAATCGGAATTCCTTCGACAATACGGCGGGCATGCCGGAAAGTGTTGCACTTCATGGGCGGCAGGGGTGTGAAATCGCAGGACCTCCATTTTCGTTTGGGAGTTTTGGGCGAAGTCAAGTGGCGCATTCAAAAAAGATATCTGCCCAGATGGGTGATTCTCTTTACGTTTCCAGGGCCAGTGCTGTGGTCAAGGGCCCGTCTGGCTGCTTGTTTGCTGAAGGCTTGCTGAAGACTGTGTTTCGCTTACGCTCGGTTGAAGTATGCCAAGTTTGCACATGTTTGCCGGAGGGTAGCAAACTTGGACAGTACCCTGTCCACTATGTCCCCTCGCCATAGTGGCGTGATGTTGCAACATTTTGACGCCTTGTTTGCTGAATGGTTGCTTTTCTGGTGGGTTGGCCAGAACGTGAAGACGTTCTTTCGCGCACATCCGGCAGTGGCGTGTCTGGTACTTTGAGACACGTGCTCCAAACCATGTTGCACGGGCCGCACGCAACTCAACGGCTTGCCCAGGGAGCTGGAATTGTAGCAGCTGAGCAGGAACCTTTTGGTAGGTTCTCATTTGTAACACACGGGAACCACCCTAAGGAGTCCGCTGGCGAGCTTGGGCATTTGCCCCCCTCAAGGCAGCTGCAAGGCAGGTTCTGGCACAACACCAAATGTCGCAATCGATATCACCCAGTTGTTAAACCAAATGCCTTGAGATGATGGCACTCCTTATGTTTCCAACGCTTTCCTTCTGTTACTTTGCAGCTTTGCGGGCCGGCCCAAGCCATGCCGCTCCCTCCGCCTTTGCGCAAACGGCGGGCCCTCGTCTTCCTCGCCTGCCTCGGCGCGTCCGCTGCCGGCTTCGCCTCGCTGGTGCCGGCGTGGTGGCGCCGGGGCCGCGCCAAGCGCCCGGGCAGCGTGGCGGAGGCGGAGCTCTTGGCGCAGCTGGCGGTGCGGCTGCAGCCCAAAGCCGAGCTGAAGGAGACCAGTTGGACGTGCCGCCCCCTATGTTTTACGACTTTTGAAGTGCCAGATGAGTTGGTTTTGCAAGGCGCAGGTGTGGCTGAGGTTTAAGCTCCCCTGGCGGCACTTGTTGTCGAACGGGTTAAACCTTGTTAGGGCGAGGGATGCTTGACATTTGAACTCGCAAGCAAATTAAACCACCACTCAGGCTGAGTTTGAGAATGTCCAAAATATGCTGGGGCCTTGTGGTTCCCTTCAGACTTGTAGTCACCATTTAGAGGTTATGTTTCGAGTGTCACCACAATGGACCCAGTTTTGCTGACACGCTAGGAGCTGTTCCGGCGCTTCCCGTCGCCCGAGAATTGGGGCGGGAACTATCTGGAGCCGGATCTGGCGATGTACGGGGTGCTGCGAGACCCAGAGGCCGCGCTCTTCGTGGAGTACGATGGGCGCCTCAGAAAGTCAGAAGTGAAGTCCTCTGGTTTTACGGGGGGGGGGCGGGAAGAGGAAACGCTATGGGACCACCTGGTCTGGTGGAGTCCATTCTGTGATGGGTATCTTGTGCTTTTGCTTTTATGGGAGATGTAGGGAACCTTGTGGCAAGGAGGATCCTTGGGGCCTTGTACTCCCCTGCCTGGGTGTTTTAAACCTCCAGAAGCCACCACGGAGTACGATTTTTTCGGATCCTCCCCCCCGGCTCAGGTATTGGAGGCATGCGGAAGAGGAGGGGATCGCCTTGGACACTGCGAAAAACGCGGCGCTGCTGGCGTACGCGCCTGAGGGATCCTATGTGTTGCGCATCAACCATGCTGCGCTCGAGGACGTGCAGCCGCAACAAAACGTAGTGTGGCTCACAGTGGTCGCTTGGTGCAGCGGCGACCACACGTCGCTCCTGGTGACGTTGGAGGATGTTCTGCGTCAGATTCACATGTGCTTGGGAGGCCAGATCATGTGGAATCGACTGACCCATGGTGTGCGGGAGGAAGGCGGGGCGCTGTCAATCAGGGCAAGGGAGTTTTCTTTTTCAGCTGCTGCACGGGGCAACAGCACGGAAGAGATAGGACACGTTCTGGCGATGCGGGGGTATGATATTGGAGAAAATGGTTGGAACAAAGTGGGCTTGGCGAGGCTGAGCATTGAAGAACAGCTGGATCCGATGCTGCTGTGGTTGGAGGAGCAAGGCTTGAGCAAGGTCCAAATTCAGAAGGTGTTGGCTGGACAACCGCGCATCTTTAGATTAGACATCGAGGACACTTTGAAGCCTACGACTGATTGGATTCTTGGCTTGGGCTTGAGCCAGGCCCAGCTTGCAAAGGTCGTGGCAGCTTTCCCTTCCGTTTTGGGATTGAGCATCGAGCAGAACTTGAAGCCTACAACTGGTTGGATTCTTGGCTTGGGCTTGAGCCAGGCCCAGCTTGCAAAGGTCGTGGCCGGATGTCCGCACATTTTGGGATTGAGCATTGAGCAGAACTTGAAGCCTACAACTGGTTGGATCCTTGGCTTGGGCTTGAGCCAGGCCCAGCTTGCAAAGGTCGTGGCAGCTTTCCCTTCCGTTTTGGGATTGAGCATCGAGCAGAACTTGAAGCCTACAACTGGTTGGATTCTTGGCTTGGGCTTGAGCCAGGCCCAGCTTGCAAAGGTCGTGGCCGGATGTCCGCACATTTTGGGATTGAGCATTGAGCAGAACTTGAAGCCTACAACTGGTTGGATCCTTGGCTTGGGCTTGAGCCAGGCCCAGCTTGCAAAGGTCGTGGCAGCTTTCCCTTCCGTTTTGGGATTGAGCATCGAGCAGAACTTGAAGCCTACAACTGGTTGGATTCTTGGCTTGGGCTTGAGCCAGGCCCAGCTTGCAAAGGTCGTGGCCGGATGTCCGCACATTTTGGGTTGCAGCATCGAGCAGAACTTGAAGCCTACAACTGGTTGGATTCTTGGCTTGGGCTTGAGCCAGGCCCAGCTTGTAAAGTGGCCAGCAAGCCGCAAATTCTGGGTTACATACAGCATCGAGCAGAACTTGAAGCCTACAACTGATTGGATTCTTGGCTTGGGCTTGAGCCAGGCCCAGCTTGCAAAGGTCGTGGCCGGATGTCCGCACATTTTGGGGTTAAGCATCGAGCAGAACTTGAAGCCAACTGCAGGCTGGATTCTTGGCTTGGGTTTGAGCCAGGCCCAGCTTGCAAAGGTCGTGGCCAGCAAGCCGCAAATTCTGGGTTACAGCATCGAGCAGAACTTGAAGCCCACAGCAGCTTGGCTGCTTGGCTTGGGTTTGGGCCAGGCCCAGCTTGCAAAGGTCGTGGCCAGATGTCCGCACATTTTGGGTTACAGCATCGAGCAGAACTTGATGCCCACTGCTGACTGGATTCTTGGCTTGGGCTTGAGCCAGGCCCAGCTTGCAAAGGTCGTGGCCGGATGTCCGCACATTTTGGGTTGCAGCATTGAGCAGAACTTGAAGCCTACAACTGGTTGGATTCTTGACTTGGGCTTGAGCCAGGCCCAGCTTGCAAAGGTTGTGGCCGGCTTTCCACGCATCTTGGCTTATAGCATTGAGCAGAACTTGAAGCCCAAACTTAAGTTGCTTGGCTTGCAATTTTCCAAATTGGCCGTCGTAGAGCTGATCGCAAAGTGTCCGCGCGTGTTTTCTTACAGCTATCAACGCCTGACAAGTCGGCTGGCAGTTCTGTCAGCTGTCAACATGACGGCAAAGCTGCCATCAGCTCTAGCGCGGACTGAATCGGAATTCCTTCGACAATACGGCGGGCATGCCGGAAAGTGTTGCACTTCATGGGCGGCAGGGGGTGTGAAATCGCAGGACCTCCATTTTCGTTTGGGAGTTTTGGGCGAAATCAAGTGGCGCATTCAAAAAAGATATCTTCCCAGATGGGTGATTCTCTTTACGTTTCCAGGGCCAGTGCTGTGGTCAAGGGCCCGTTGCTGAAGGCTTGCTGAAGACCGTGTTTTGCTTACGCTCGGTTGAACTATGCCAAGTTTGCACATGTTTGCCGGAGGGTAGAAGCAAACTTGGACAGTACCCTGTCCAGATGTTGCAACATTTTGACACCTTGTTTGCTGAATGGTTGCTTTTCTGTGTCTGGTACTTTGAGACACGTGCTCTGAACCATGTTGCACGGGCCGCACGCAACTCGGCGGCCTGCCCAGGGAGCTGGAATTGCAGCAGCTGAGCGGGAACCTTTTGGTAGGTTCTCATTAGTAACACACGGCAACCACCCTAGTTGGGCATTTGTTCCCCTCAAGGCAGCTGCGAGGCAGGCTCTGGCAGAACACCAATGTACTGGCGGCGTGTGAAATGTGGCAATCGATATCGCCCAGTTGTTGAGCCAAATGCCTTGAGACGATGGCGCGCCTTGCAATTCAACGCTTTCCTTCTGTTACTTTGCAGCTTTGCGGGCCTGCCTTGAGCCATGCCGTTCCCTCCGCCATTGCGGAAACGGCGGGCCCCGGCCGTCCTCGTCTTCCTCGCCCTCCTCGCCTGCCTCGGCGCGTCCGCTGCCGGCTTCCGCGCCGGCTTCGCCTCGCTGGCGCCGGCGTGGTGGCGCCGGGGCCGCGCCAAACGCCCGGGCAGCGTGGCGGAGGCGGAGCTCTTGGCGCAGCTGGCGCTGCGGCTGCAGCCCAAAGCCGAGCTCAAGGAGACGATTTGCATGCGTCGGACGGATTGAGTTTGGAGGCGCAGGCACCTCTGAGTTTCACACAATTGGGATGCTTCAGATTTCAACTCGCAAGCAGTCCCAATAGTATCCCTTCTGGACGTGTAACGCCAATGCCGTTCTATGTGCCGTTTCGAGGATTAAACCACCACTCAGGCTGTGTTTGAGGATGTCCAAACGATGCTGGGTCCTTGTGGTTCCCTTCAGACTTTTGGGCACCATGGGCACCATTTGGAGGTCATGTTTCGGAATGTCACTTCAATGGACCCTGTCAAAACGCCAGGAGCTGTTCCGGCGCTTCCCGTCGCCCGAGAATTGGGGCGGGAACTACCTGGAGCCGGATCTGGCGATGTACGGGGTGCTGAAAGACCCGGAGGCCGCGCTCTTCGTGGAGTACGACGGGCGCCTCAGAAGCACCTGGTAGATTCCATTCTTTGGGTGGAAGGGTATCTTGTACTTTTGCTTGTGCGGAAAATCTGGGGAACCCTGTGCCAAAGGTCCGTCCAGCGTGGTTTATTCCCAAGCATTCCATTCTGTGGATGGCAAGGTATTCGGGCCTTCAGAAATGTGTGGGTCGTTCTCGGGTTCCCTTGAAGCTGGGCGGATCGGAGCAGGGATTTGCATCTGCTTCTTCGGACAATTGCCACTAGGTGCGAAGGACATCAAGGGCACTTTTCCCCCTTGCGGCCGCATGCTATGCACAGTGACTCCTTGGTCCTTGTGTTTTCGTCTTGCCCACCCCCGCCTTCGATCAGGTATTGGAGGCATGCGGAAGAGGGAGGGATGGCCTTAGACGCGGCGAAAAACGCTGCGCTGCTGGCATACGCGCCTCAGGGATCCTATGTGTTGCGCATCAACCATGCTGCGCTTGAGGACGTGCAGCCGCAGGAAAACGTGCTGTGGGTTACAGTGGGCACTTGGCGCCGCGGTGACCACACGTCGCTCCTGGCGACACTGGAGGACCTCATGCGACAGATATTTGTTGGCATGCGAGGCGTTCTCCGTGGGAGTGTGTTGAGACAGCAAACCCCTGGTGTGGAAAACGGAGGTGGGGCCTTTTCGATCCGGGCACGGGAGTTTTCAATTTCAGCTGCTGCACAGGGCAACAGCACGGAAGAGATAGGACGCTTCCTGGCGATGCGAGGATATGATATTGGAGAACATTGGAACAAAGTGGTCTTGGTGAGTCTGAGCATTGAAGAACAGCTGGATCCGATGCTGCTGTGGTTGGAGGAGCAAGGCTTGAGCAAGGTCCAAATTCAGAAGGTGTTGGCTGGACAACCACGTATCTTTAGATTAAACATTGAGGACACCCTGAAGCCCACCGCGGATTGGATTCTTGGCTTGGGCCTGAGCCAGGCCCAGCTTGCAAAGATCGTGACTGGCTTTCCGCAAATCTTGGGTTGCAGCATTGAGCAGAACTTGCAGCCTACGACGGATTGGATCCTTGGCTTGGGCTTGAGCCAGGCCCAGCTTGCAAAGGTCGTGGCTGGCTTTCCGCAAGTCTTGGGTTACAGCATTGAGCAGAACTTGAAGCCTACAGCTGATTGGATTCTTGGCTTGGGCTTGAGCCAGGCCCAGCTTGCAAAGCTCGTGGCTGGCTTTCCGCAAATCCTGGGTTACAGCATCGAGCATAACTTGAAGCCTACGACTGATTGGATCCTTGGCTTGGGCTTGAGCCAGGCCCAGCTTGCAAAGGTCGTGGCTGGCTTTCCGCAAGTCTTGGGTTGCAGCATTGAGCAGAACTTGCAGCCTACGACGGATTGGATCCTTGGCTTGGGCTTGAGCCAGGCCCAACTGGCAAAGGTCGTGGCTGGCCATCCGCAAATCATGGGTTACAGCATCGAGCAGAACTTGAAGCCTACAGCTGATTGGATTCTGGGCTTGGGCTTGAGCCAGGCCCAGCTTGCAAAGGTCGTGGCCAGCAAGCCGCAAGTCTTGGGTTGCAGCATTGAGCAGAACTTGAAGCCTACAGCTGATTGGATTCTTGGCTTGGGCTTGAGCCAGGCCCAGCTTGCAAAGGTCGTGGCTGGCTTTCCGCATGTCTTGGGTTACAGCATTGAGCAGAACTTGAAGCCTACAGCTGATTGGATTCTTGGCTTGGGCTTGAGCCAGGCCCAGCTTGCAAAGGTCGTGACTGGCTTTCCGCATGTCTTGGGTTACAGCATTGAGCAGAACTTGAAGCCTACAGCTGATTGGATTCTTGGCTTGGGCTTGAGCCAGGCCCAGCTTGCAAAGGTCGTGGCTGGCTTTCCGCATGTCTTGGGTTGCAGCATTGAGCAGAACTTGAAGCCTACAGCTGATTGGATTCTTGGCTTGGGCTTGAGCCAGGCCCAACTGGCAAAGGTCGTGGCTGGCCATCCGCAAATCATGGGTTACAGCATCGAGCAGAACTTGAAGCCTACAGCTGATTGGATTCTGGGCTTGGGCTTGAGCCAGGCCCAGCTTGCAAAGGTCGTGGCTGGCTTTCCGCAAGTCTTGGGTTGCAGCATTGAGCAGAACTTGCAGCCTACGACGGTTGGATCCTTGGCTTGGGCTTGAGCCAGGCCCAACTGCAAAGGTCGTGGCTGGCCATCCGCAAATCATGGGTTGCAGCATTGAGCAGAACTTGCAGCCTACGACGGATTGGATCCTTGGCTTGGGCTTGAGCCAGGCCCAGCTTGCAAAGGTCGTGGCTGGCTTTCCGCAAGTCTTGGGTTACAGCATCGAGCAGAACTTGAAGCCTACAGCTGATTGGATTCTTGGCTTGGGCTTGAGCCAGGCCCAGCTTGCAAAGGTCGTGGCCAGCAAGCCGCAAGTCTTGGGTTACAGCATCGAGCAGAACTTGATGCCCACTGCTGACTGGATTCTTGGCTTGGGCTTGAGCCGGTCCCAGCTTGCAAAGGTCGTGGCCGGCTGTCCGCACATTTTGGGTTGCAGCATTGAGCAGAACTTGCAGCCTACGACGAATTGGATCCTTGGCTTGGGCTTGAGCCAGGCCCAGCTTGCAAAGGTCGTGGCTGGCTTTCCGCAAATCCTTGGTTACAGCATCGAGCAGAACTTGAAGCCGAAACTTCAGTTGCTTGGCTTGCAATTTTCAGAATTGGCCGTCTCAGAGCTGATCGCAAAGTGTCCGCGTGTTTTTTCTTACAGCTATCAACGCCTGACAAGTCGGCTGGCAGTTCTGTCAGCTGTCAACATGACGGCAAAGCTGCCTTCAGCTCTAGCGCGGACTGAATCGGAATTCCTTCGACAATACGGCGGGCATGCCGGAAAGTGTTGCACTTTATGGGCGGCAGGGGGTGTGAAATCGCAGGACCTCCATTTTTCGTTTGGGAGTTTTGGGCGAAATCAAGTGGCGCAGTCAAAAAACATATCTCCCCAGATGGGTGATTCTCTCTATGTTTCCAGGGCCAGTGCTGTGGTCAAGGGCCCGTCTGGCTGCTTGTTTGCTGAAGGCTTGCTGAAGACTGTGTTTCGCTTACGCTCGGTTGAAGTATGCCAGGTTTGCACATGTTTGCCGGAGGGTAGAAGCAAACTCGGACAGTACCCTGTCCACTATGGCCCCGCCATAGTGGCATGATGTTGCAACATTTTGACCTTGTTTGCTGAATTGTTTGCTTTTCTGATGGGTTGGCCAGAACGTGAAGACGTTCTTTCGCGCACATCCGGCAGTGGCGGGTCTGGTACTTTGACACATGCGCTCCGAAGAATGTTCCAAGGGCTGCACGTAACTTGGCGGCTTGCCCAGGGAGCTGTCTGAAGGGTGGAAGGAATTCCAAGAGTGTGCAATTCTTTTTCACTGGATCCATTGAGCCTCATGAGGGCCGTTGGCCCCGTTGGGACTAGGGAATTGCGTTGCCCTACAGCTTGCCAGCCTGGGCACTTGCCCCCTCAAGGCAGCTGTGAGGCAGGCTCTGGCAGAACGCCAAATGTGGCAATCGATGTCGCCCAGTTGTTGAGCCAGATGCCTTGAGATGATGGCACTCCTTACGATTCAACGCTTTCCTTCTGTTAGTTTGCAGCTTTGCGGGCCTACCCGAGCCATGCCGCTCCCTCCGCCTTTGCGGAAACGGCGGGCCCCGGCCGTCCTCGGCTTCCTCGCCCTCCTCGCCTGCCTCGGCGCGTCCGCTGCCGGCTTCGCCTCGCTGGCGCCGGCGTGGTGGCGCCGGGGCCGCGCCAAGCGCCCGGGCAGCGTGGCGGAGGCGGAGCTCTTAGCGCAGCTGGCGCTGCGGCTGCAGCCCAAAGCTGAGCTCACGGAGACGATTTGATGTGCGCCGCAACGTTTCACGACTGGTGTGGTGTCAGATGGGTTGGGGTTTAATAATATGGGTGCGTTGAAGGTTGCGTATCTTTGCATGTTTCTGGGAAAGGCATCTGGTTAGCCAAGAGAGGTTTAATACTTTGTCATAAACAGCAGTTTTTTCTGGGGTTAAGGGAACTTCTGTTGATGCAATAAGCCTTTGATTCGCTGGTCCTTTTGGCATGTGAGCTTTTCTTCTGCATACACCTTCTTCGGTTATGTCCCTTCCCCGGGTCCTGCTAGGCAATGATTGTCCAAAAGGCATGCGCAGGGAAACCGCATTTTTTGCGGGGCTTTCCAAAGCCTGGGAAGTGGAAGTCAAGGACCTTGCTGTTGGAACCTCTTTTGACACCAGGTTGCGGTTAAACAATGAGGAACCGGGTGCCCCTGGTGATAGGAGCTGTTCCGGCGCTTCCCGTCGCCGGAGAATTGGGGCGGGCACTACCTAGAGCCGGACCTGGCGATGCACGGGGTTCTGCGAGACCCAGAAGCCGCGCTCTTCGTGGAGTACGACGGGCAGCTTCTCAGAACTTGAAGGTCACCCAGAATGAAGGTCCTCTACAGCGCTGCCCTTATTTCCGACTTTGGAACCGCGGAACCGTAGTAATTTGGCCATGTTTGTGCTTGAAGGACGGGCCACGTCAGGCAAGTGGAGTGGTAACAAGACTATGGCCCCCTTTCAGGACTTAAACATGCAGGCGCCAAGAACACTCTTTTAAGGAGCGAAGTCGGCCTTGCGGTCAAAACGGTACCCCCCTGTTCCAGGTGGCGAGCATGACCAATCATGTGTGCAGAGCGTTTGCCCTTTCAACGGTATACTGCCATGGTCATGGCTTCTGCCCCTGCCTGCCATGGTGATTGCCAGGAACATTTGCAGAAAAGGGGGCTGGCCTCGGTTAAGCTGCCATCAACAAATTGCAGTTTTGCAATTGCATTTCCTCTCACATTTTTGTTTGCCGGAACGATTGACTTTGCTGGCCCCGCGGTGTTGCCTATAACTTTCAGTGGCAAGAGCAAGCACCTCGTTTTGGTATGAATACCGCACACAAACATATGTGTTTTGGAAAGGGCGCAGTGCTTAGCAGGCGATTTAATCCCCACCCCTAGCACTGCTCAGGTATTGGAGGCATGCGGAAGAGGAGGGGATGGCCTTGGACACCGCGAAAAACGCGGCGCTGCTGGCATACGCGCCTGAGGGATCCTATGTTGTGCGCATCAACCATGCTGCGCTTGAAGACGTGCAGCCGCAGGAAAACGTGCTGTGGGTGACAGCGGGCACTTGGCGCAGGGGCGACCAAGCGTCGCTCCTGGCGACACTGGAGGACCTCATACGACAGATCTTTGTTGGCATGCGAGGCGTTCTCCGTGGGAGTGTGTTGAGACAGCAAACCCATGGTGTGCGGGAGGGCGGCAGGGTTTTGTCAATCAGGGCAAGGGAGTTTTCAATTTCAGCTGCTGCACGGGGCAACACCACGGAAGAGATAGGACGCTTCCTGGTGATGCGAGGATATGATATTGGAGAACATTGTTGGAACGAAGTGGGCTTGGTGAGTCTGAGCATTGAAGAACAGCTGGATCCGATGCTGCTGTGGTTGGAGGAGCAAGGATTGAGCAAGGTCCAAATTCAGAAGGTGTTGGCTGGACAACCACGTATCTTTAGATTAAACATTGAGGACACCCTGAAGCCCACCGCGGATTGGATTCTTGGCTTGGGCCTGAGCCAGGCCCAGCTTGCAAAGATCGTGACTGGCTTTCCGCAAATCTTGGGTTGCAGCATTGAGCAGAACTTGCAGCCTACAGCTGATTGGATCCTTGGCTTGGGCTTGAGCCAGGCCCAGCTTGCAAAGGTCGTGGCTGGCTTTCCGCAAGTCTTGGGTTGCAGCATTGAGCAGAACTTGAAGCCTACAGCTGGTTGGATTCTTGGCTTGGGCTTGAGCCAGGCCCAGCTTGCAAAGGTCGTGGCTGGCCATCCGCAAATCCTGGGTTACAGCATCGAGCATAACTTGAAGCCTACAGCTGATTGGATTCTTGGCTTGGGCTTGAGCCAGGCCCAGCTGGCAAAGATCGTGGCTGGCTTTCCGCATGTCTTGGGTTACAGCATTGAGCAGAACTTGAAGCCTACAGCTGATTGGATTCTTGGCTTGGGCTTGAGCCAGGCCCAGCTTGCAAAAAGGTCGTGGCCAGCAAGCCGCAAGTCTTGGGTTACAGCATTGAGCAGAACTTGAAGCCTACAGCTGATTGGATTCTTGGCTTGGGCTTGAGCCAGGCCCAGCTTGCAAAGGTCGTGTCTGCTTTCCCTTCCATTTTGGGTTGCAGCATTGAGCAGAACTTGAAGCCTACAGCTGATTGGATCCTTGGCTTGGGCTTGAGCAAGGCCCAGCTTGCAAAGGTCGTGGCTGGCTTTCCGCAAGTCTTGGGTTACAGCATCGAGCAGAACTTGAAGCCTACAGCTGATTGGATTCTTGGCTTGGGCTTGAGCCAGGCTCAGCTTGCAAAGGTCGTGGCCAGCAAGCCGCAAGTCTTGGGTTGCAGCATTGAGCAGAACTTGAAGCCTACAGCTGATTGGATCCTTGGCTTGGGCTTGAGCCGGTCCCAGCTTGCAAAGGTCGTGGCTGGCTTTCCGCATGTCTTGGGTTACAGCATTGAGCAGAACTTGAAGCCTACAACTGATTGGATTCTTGGCTTGGGCCTGAGCCAGGCCCAGCTTGCAAAGATCGTGACTGGCTTTCCGCAAATCTTGGGTTGCAGCATTGAGCAGAACTTGCAGCCTACGACGGATTGGATCCTTGGCTTGGGCTTGAGCCAGGCCCAGCTTGCAAAGGTCGTGGCTGGCTTTCCGCATGTCTTGGGCTACAGCATCGAGCACAACTTGAAGCCAACAACTGATTGGATTCTTGGCTTGGGCTTGAGCCAGGCCCAGCTTGTAAAGGTCGTGTCTAGCTTTCCGCAAATTTTGAGTTGCAGCATCGAGCAGAACTTGAAGCCTACAACTGATTGGATTCTTGGCTTGGGCTTGAGCCAGGCCCAGCTTGCAAAGGTCGTGGCTGGCCATCCGCAAATCCTGGGTTACAGCATCGAGCAGAACTTGAAGCCGAAACTTCAGTTGCTTGGCTTGCAATTTTCAGAATTGGCCGTCTCAGAGCTGATCGCAAAGTGTCCGCGTGTTTTTTCTTACAGCTATCACCGCCTGACAAGTCGGCTGGCAGTTCTGTCAGCTGTCAACATGACGGCAAAGCTGCCTTCAGCTCTAGCGCGGACTGAATCGGAATTCCTTCGACAATACGGCGGGCATGCCGGAAAGTGTTGCACTTTATGGGCGGCAGGGGGTGTGAAATCGCAGGACCTCCATTTTTCGTTTGGGAGTTTTGGGCGAAATCAAGTGGCGCAGTCAAAAAACATATCTCCCCAGATGGGTGATTCTCTCTATGTTTCCAGGGCCAGTGCTGTGGTCAAGGGCCCGTCTGGCTGCTTGTTTGCTGAAGGCTTGCTGAAGACTGTGTTTCGCTTACGCTCGGTTGAAGTATGCCAAGTTTGCACATGTTGCAACATTTTGACCTTGTTTGCTGAATTGTTTGCTTTTCTGATGGGTTGGCCAGAACGTGAAGACGTTCTTTCGCGCACATCCGGCAGTGGCGTGTCTGGTACTTTGTTGCAAGGGCTGCACGTAACTTGGCGGCTTGCCCAGGGAGCTGTCTGAAGGGTGGAAGGAATTCCAAGAGTGTGCAATTCTTTTTCACTGGATCCATTGAGCCTCATGAGGGCCGTTGGCCCCGTTGGGACTAGGGAATTGCGTTGTCCTACAGCTTGCCAGCCTGGGCACTTGCCCCCTCAAGGCAGCTGTGAGGCAGGCTCTGGCAGAACGCCAAATGTGGCAATCGATGTCGCCCAGTTGTTGAGCCAGATGCCTTGAGATGATGGCACTCCTTACGATTCAACGCTTTCCTTCTGTTAGTTTGCAGCTTTGCGGGCCTACCCGAGCCATGCCGCTCCCTCCGCCTTTGCGGAAACGGCGGGCCCCGGCCGTCCTCGGCTTCCTCGCCCTCCTCGCCTGCCTCGGCGCGTCCGCTGCCGGCTTCGCCTCGCTGGCGCCGGCGTGGTGGCGCCGGGGCCGCGCCAAGCGCCCGGGCAGCGTGGCGGAGGCGGAGCTCTTAGCGCAGCTGGCGCTGCGGCTGCAGCCCAAAGCTGAGCTCAAGGAGACGATTTGATGTGCGCCGCAACGTTTCACGACTGGTGTGGTGTCAGATGGGTTGGGGTTTAATAGTATGGGTGTGTTGAAGGTTGCGTATCTTTGCATGTTTCTGGGAAAGGCCTCTGGTTAGCCAAGAGAGGTTTAATACTTTGTCATAAACAGCAGTTTTTTTTTCTGGGGTTAAGGGAACTTCTGTTGATGCAATAAGCCTTTGATTCGCTGGTCCTTTTGGCATGTGAGCTTTTCTTCTGCATACACCTTCTTCGGTTATGTCCCTTTTCCGGGTCCTGCTAGGCAATGATTGTCCAAAAGGCATGCGCAGGGAAAACCGCATTTTTTGCGGGGCTTTCCAAAGCCTGGGAAGTGGAAGTCAAGGACCTTGCTGTTGGAACCTCTTTTGACACCAGGTTGCGGTTAAACAATGAGGAACCGGGTGCCCCTGGTGATAGGAGCTGTTCCGGCGCTTCCCGTCGCCGGAGAATTGGGGCGGGCACTACCTAGAGCCGGACCTGGCGATGCACGGGGTTCTGAAAGACCCAGAAGCCGCGCTCTTCGTGGAGTACGACGGGCAGCTTCTCAGAACTTGAAGGTCGCCCAGAATGAAGGTCCTCTACAGCGCTTCCCTTATTTCCGATTTTGGAACCGCGGAACCGTAGTAATTTGGCCATATTTGTGCTTGAAGGACGGGCCACGTCAGGCAAGTGGAGTGGTAACAAGACTATGGCCCCTTTTCAGGACTTAAACATGCAGGCGCCAAGAACACTCTTTTAAGGAGCGAAGTCGGCCGTGTGGTCAAAACGGTACCCCCCTGGTCCAGGTGGCGAGCATGACCAATCATGTGTGCAGAGCGTTTGCCCTTTCAACGGTATACTGCCATGGTCATGGCTTCTGCCCCTGCCTGCCATGGTGATTGCCAGGAACATTTGCAGAAGAGGGGGCTGGCCTTGGTTAAACTGCCATCAACAAATTGCAGTTTTTCAATTGGATTGCCTCTCACATTTGCTGGCCCCGCGGTGTTGTCTATAGCTTTCAGTGGCAAGAGCAAGCACCTCGTTTTGGTATGAATACCGCACACAAACATATGTGTTTTGGAAAGGGCACAGTGCTTAGCAGGCGATTTAATCCCCACCGCTAGCACTGCTCAGGTATTGGAGGCATGCGGAAGAGGAGGGGATCGCCTTGGACACTGCAAAAAACGCTGCGCTGCTGGCATACACGCCTGAGGGATCCTATGTTGTGCGTGTCAACCATGCTGCGGTCGAGGACGTGCAGCTGCAGGAAAACGTGCTGTGGGTGACAGTGGGCACTTGGCGCCGCGGCGACCACACGTCGCTCCTGGCGACACTGGAGGACCTCATACGACAGATGTTTGTTGGTATGCGAGGGGTTCTCCGTGGGAGTGTGTTGAGACAGCTGACCCATGGTGTGGGGGAGGGCGGCAGGGTTTTGTCAATCAGGGCACGGGAATTTTCAGCTTTAGCTGCTGCACGGGGCAACACCACGGAAGAGATAGGACGCTTCCTGGTGATGCGAGGATATGATATTGGAGAACATTGTTGGAACGAAGTGGGCTTGGTGAGTCTGAGCATTGAAGAACAGCTGGATCCGATGCTGCTGTGGTTGGAGGAGCAAGGATTGAGCAAGGTCCAAATTCAGAAGGTGTTGGCTGGACAACCGCGTATCTTTAGATTAAGCATTGAGGACACCCTGAAGCCCACAGCAGGTTGGCTGATTGGCTTGGGCCTGAGCCAGGCCCAGCTTGCAAAGATCGTGACTGGCTTTCCGCAAATCTTGGGTTGCAGCATTGAGCAGAACTTGCAGCCTACGAGGGATTGGATCCTTGGCTTGGGCTTGAGCCAGGCCCAGCTTGCAAAGGTCGTGGCTGGCTTTCCGCATGTCTTGGGCTGCAGCATTGAGCAGAACTTGAAGCCTACAGCTGATTGGATTCTTGGCTTGGGCTTGAGCCAGGCCCAGCTTGTAAAGGTCGTGTCTAGCTTTCCGCAAATTTTGAGTTGCAGCATCGAGCAGAACTTGAAGCCTACAACTGATTGGATTCTTGGCTTGGGCTTGAGCCAGGCCCAGCTTGCAAAGGTCGTGGCTGGCTTTCCGCAAGTCTTGGGTTACAGCATTGAGCAGAACTTGAAGCCTACAGCTGATTGGATTCTTGGCTTGGGCTTGAGCCAGGCTCAGCTTGCAAAGGTCGTGGCCAGCAAGCCGCAAGTCTTGGGTTGCAGCATTGAGCAGAACTTGAAGCCTACAGCTGATTGGATCCTTGGCTTGGGCTTGAGCCGGTCCCAGCTTGCAAAGGTCGTGGCCGGCTGTCCGTGCATTTTGGGTTGCAGCATTGAGCAGAACTTGCAGCCTACGACGGATTGGATCCTTGGCTTGGGCTTGAGCCAGGCCCAGCTTGCAAAGGTCGTGGCTGGCTTTCCGCAAGTCTTGGGTTGCAGCATTTAGCAGAACTTGCAGCCTACGACTGATTGGATCCTTGGCTTGGGCTTGAGCCAGGCCCAGCTTCCGCATGTCTTGGGTTACAGCATTGAGCAGAACTTGAAGCCTACAACTGATTGGATTCTTGGCTTGGGCCTGAGCCAGGCCCAGCTTGCAAAGATCGTGACTGGCTTTCCGCAAATCTTGGGTTGCAGCATTGAGCAGAACTTGCAGCCTACGACGGATTGGATCCTTGGCTTGGGCTTGAGCCAGGCCCAGCTTGCAAAGGTCGTGGCTGGCTTTCCGCATGTCTTGGGCTACAGCATCGAGCACAACTTGAAGCCAACAACTGATTGGATTCTTGGCTTGGGCTTGAGCCAGGCCCAGCTTGTAAAGGTCGTGTCTAGCTTTCCGCAAATTTTGAGTTGCAGCATCGAGCAGAACTTGAAGCCTACAACTGATTGGATTCTTGGCTTGGGCTTGAGCCAGGCCCAGCTTGCAAAGGTCGTGGCTGGCCATCCGCAAATCCTGGGTTACAGCATCGAGCAGAACTTGAAGCCGAAACTTCAGTTGCTTGGCTTGCAATTTTCAGAATTGGCCGTCTCAGAGCTGATCGCAAAGTGTCCGCGTGTTCTTTCTTACAGCTATCACCGCCTGACAAGTCGGCTGGCAGTTCTGTCAGCTGTCAACATGACGGCAAAGCTGCCTTCAGCTCTAGCGCGGACTGAATCGGAATTCCTTCGACAATACGGCGGGCATGCCGGAAAGTGTTGCACTTTATGGGCGGCAGGGGGTGTGAAATCGCAGGACCTCCATTTTTCGTTTGGGAGTTTTGGGCGAAATCAAGTGGCGCAGTCAAAAAACATATCTCCCCAGATGGGTGATTCTCTCTATGTTTCCAGGGCCAGTGCTGTGGTCAAGGGCCCGTCTGGCTGCTTGTTTGCTGAAGGCTTGCTGAAGACTGTGTTTCGCTTACGCTCGGTTGAAGTATGCCAAGTTTGCACATGTTGCAACATTTTGACCTTGTTTGCTGAATTGTTTGCTTTTCTGATGGGTTGGCCAGAACGTGAAGACGTTCTTTCGCGCACATCCGGCAGTGGCGTGTCTGGTACTTTGTTGCAAGGGCTGCACGTAACTTGGCGGCTTGCCCAGGGAGCTGTCTGAAGGGTGGAAGGAATTCCAAGAGTGTGCAATTCTTTTTCACTGGATCCATTGAGCCTCATGAGGGCCGTTGGCCCCGTTGGGACTAGGGAATTGCGTTGTCCTACAGCTTGCCAGCCTGGGCACTTGCCCCCTCAAGGCAGCTGTGAGGCAGGCTCTGGCAGAACGCCAAATGTGGCAATCGATGTCGCCCAGTTGTTGAGCCAGATGCCTTGAGATGATGGCACTCCTTACGATTCAACGCTTTCCTTCTGTTAGTTTGCAGCTTTGCAGGCCTACCCGAGCCATGCCGCTCCCTCCGCCTTTGCGGAAACGGCGGGCCCCGGCCGTCCTCGGCTTCCTCGCCCTCCTCGCCTGCCTCGGCGCGTCCGCTGCCGGCTTCGCCTCGCTGGCGCCGGCGTGGTGGCGCCGGGGCCGCGCCAAGCGCCCGGGCAGCGTGGCGGAGGCGGAGCTCTTAGCGCAGCTGGCGCTGCGGCTGCAGCCCAAAGCTGAGCTCAAGGAGACGATTTGATGTGCGCCGCAACGTTTCACGACTGGTGTGGTGTCAGATGGGTTGGGGGTTAAAAATATGGGTGTGTTGAAGGTTGCGTATCTTTGCATGTTTCTGGGAAAGGCCTCAAACTCCAGCAACGCCTCTTGAGCGCATTGCCGAATTCTATCTTCAGATGGCATCACGGCTTCCTGGCACAAACTCGCGAAATTCGGGTCAACAAGTTAGGTGCCCACTAGACTGCTCGCAGCGTCTAGCAACGCAATCAAACTAACACAAAGTTTCAGTTTGCAGCTCAGAGTCAAATCCTTTTCGTCTGTGGTTGCTAATCACGTACTTGACGATCATTGCCAGGGCCGGGGCCATCCCATGCGTTTTCCAGGAGGCCGAGGTTGAAGCAGTAGGATTCCCGCCAGGATAATATCCCTCAAAACTGCGTAGTCCAAAGTCCATGACGATGAGGCAGCCTTTGGGAGCGTCACGAGGCTTGAGGTTCCGAATGCAGTCAGGCGTCCTATTGTCCATTTGTCTTTTTTCGTCAGCTGTTCGTCGTTTTTTCTTATCCGGTTCGCCTGCTTTTGCTGCTGCTTCTGCTGCCGCAGCATCTGCCTCCAAGATTTGTTTCACCTTGTCAAAATCTCCTTGTTCATTCGCTTCAAGTTCCTGGAGAGCGTCGAGCATCAAATCTTTTGGCCCAACGCTAGCTTCGGTTTTGGCTTGCCTTCCCTTCAGTAGTTTTGCGACTATTGCTGTTTTTTCCTCCAGTGATTTGTCAGTCAAGAATTTGTCGGCTAGCGCTAACAGCCTTGACCTCACAGAGACCGTTTTTTCCCCAATCGCGCTGACTTTCATGTCTAATGTAGAGCAAATGCGAGAAATGTTTGCATCGGTGACCCCTTCCAGCGAGCCACCAAGAAGAAGATGCCGAACTAGGTTTTCATTCTCTCCAGTTACCAGCAGCAACGCCCCGTGATGTCGTAGTTTTGCCGGAAGTTGCTGTGGTAAGCCTGAGTTGGAGAAACAATACTAAGTTGTTAAGCACAGGTAAAGTTTGCAAAGAGGCAGGTGCGCGAAAACAATGAGGTCCAAGGTTTGACTGAGCGCGGGTGATGCAAGTAATAAAAAATATCCCAACATCACACAAAGCCAAGAGTCACCATTTGACTGGCACTCCGTCGACATTTGCAGCAGCACCTTCCAACCCAATGCAAAGTAATGGCTGCAAGCTACGAACGGATCTGTCGGGGTCACTGGTGACCGGGCCCACACGCAAGTACTGTGATCGAGCAGTACCCTGCACGACTTGCAGTTGCCAACCCCATGCCATCGAATCTTGGCTGCCCAGAGACAAGAAGCACTGGCCATCACTTTTGCGGCAAAAGACCTTTCCGAGTTGGAGAAGGCAGCACATCCAGAGATGTTCAACAAATTGGAAAGCCGGGGATATTTGTAGCAACGAATGAACCGCTGCCACTGCTCTGTAATCTGCTTGAATTCCAGCCGGTTTCCAATCTTCAGCTGTGTACTCCGAAAGAAACTCTTGCGCTACATGCTTAATGCAGTCCGATTTGTAAAGCTTGGCTGCTGTGGACTTTTGCACTGCAAAGTCTTCGTTGCGTAACATATCCTCCTTGGTGAGCCGGAAAGCCCACCCATCTGGCACTGACAAAGGGGCAACGCCAGTTTCACGCGCACGAGCAGAGGTGATGACCTGAAACATCATGCGTTGCAAGGTCAAGTTTTTGGTGCTGCTGTCACGGTCTGCATGGTCCTTTTGGTCGCTGAACTGGTCTTCTGTAGGCCGCTTTGTGCTGCCCACGCCGGCATTGAGAAAGAATGCGAAATCATGGATAGACTCAATTGTCCACCCATGCTGGGCCAAATGCGCCCAAATGGATTGGACCATGACACTCTTGTCAAACCATACGTTTGCCAGCAGCTCGCGAAGAGCCTTTGGCCGGGCCAAATTTCGAAAACTACAAACGAAAATGACATGTAAAGGGAAAGGTCAGCTAATTCACAAACAGTATTGGTCGCAGTTCTCGTTTGAAAACCGAGTTCTTACGTGCTTTGGTCGCCAGACCTAGCTAGTAACAGCTACGCAGCGGGTTTGTCACACTCAACGTCGTCGCCCTCCTCGTTTAGCCTGGTCTTGGCCAGGGTGATCACATCGTAGACACTCTTGATGTGGGCAAGGGCGCCGTCGGCTTTCTCAGGAGACGAATCCAACAAACCGGCAAGGCGGTCCGGAAGAAGGATTGTGTGGACAGCTTGCGACCAGGTCCGTGCGCTAGCAGCATTCAATACCAAAGTGTGGAACACGGCGAGCATTTCAGCAAGTTTGTCGTTGTCAAAGAAAGGCTGGGCACCGTGAAGCGCCAATTTTTGCAGCGTTTCAGGGTCGTGTAGCATGCATAAAATGCGATGGATTTCATCATGTGTCCAGGCCTGATTAGCACGCTTAGCCATGAACTGTTGCATATCAGGTACGCGCTTGAAAGCTTCCAAGGCAGCCAAGTGCACCTTGACGATTGGCCAGCAAGTGAACTCGATCCTTAGCTACTGCCCGCAACACTACTACGATTCGACCAGAAACTGAGGCAACGTAACTGACTTCGGAGCAAAGAGCTAGTTGTAAGCACTAGGAAACAAACATCATACCGGCCAAACACCTGCAAGGAACATCCGGTTGTAGACTTGTAGGTCGAATACGCTGAGTATTTCCGCATTCAGCTCCAGCGTGTTCTTTGAGTTTTTCTTGGCCCGTTTGGCCATCTCGCCCACCAACTCCCTGTGCGACTCTCTGTGACTATCGTCTGACCCAAACACAGAAGCAACGTTCCTGATCTCCTGCAATGGGAAAATGAATCTATAATTCCCCCAGCCACAAGTTTGGGGGGGGGGGGGAGGGGGGCAAAAAGCGTGCAAGCTGTCCTGCATAGTCGAGGCATCTAAGTCAATCTTCGTGGGCAACCCCTGAAGAGCTTGGACCATGTTCACCAGCGTAAGTTCAGTCGCAAACTGCTTGTTGAACTGACGGGAGTCAATGATGTACTGCATCCACCGCCGAAGTTTGACCTGTGACAAAACAGATTTGGAATGTTTTGCAAATAAGCAAGACATGTTAAACCAGCGGACCTTTGCTGGCAGCCGGAAATGGAAGTTCTAGGGTTCCAATTCAATTTCTGAGCGCAGCGTATTTTTCCTACCGTCCTGAAACTGTGGCGCAGCCAAGGCACATCCCGGATGCGCATTGAAGATCGAGCTGTTTGCACGAACTTGTCCCAAAGGACAGCCGGGTCGGTGTCATAGGGCAGCCCCCAATCAAAGCAGAAGCGATGAAGGTTGGCCCGGAACCTTATATAGCTGTGCCCAGCAGGTTGCACAAATGAATGATTCTCACTGCCTTTGGACCTAACAAGCAGCCATACCATCTCTGCACTTTAAGACGAGAAGCACTGCGTCCTCTGATCCCATGATTTTGTTCCAGAGTTCCAGCGCGGCCGCCTTCTGATTTCCAAAGTTCTCGTTGCCAAACGGTTTTTTGTTGATGTTCAGCGGCAGAACCAAAAGGCCCACCACACCTGGTGCATCAGATCATGGCCCTACGACTCAGTGTGGGTGCGCGCGCTAAACGGCGCAGGTGTTAATCAATAATTGTTGTGCCCGAGTCATGCTAACAAATGAAAGTTAAAAGAGAGCAACGCCGTACACTTTGGCACCTTTGTGTTTTAGACAACCCCCCGCCCCAGAGCCCGCTCCGCCGCACAGCAAGGCCGCAGTCGTCCCAGTCCCGGTGCGGCGTGTCGAAGCCCGAAGTCACAGCAAAGTTGAACTTGGTCGCCAATGCGTTCAGAAGCCTTGTCCTTGCAAGGAATTGGGGTGTAGCGCATGTTGGAGGGGCTGGGACTGCTGTTTAAAGGGTTGATCACTCGCCCCCAGACACATGCAAGACCTGACTCAAGTACTGCGTCAACCCAATTGTTCACAAGGCTGGTTGTTATTGTCTTGGAATTGCAGCAGGCATAAGACACATCACCGCGCTCAGCGGCCAAAAGCGAAATACAAACTCAAAACTGTCACGCCGAAGGTCTGGGAGCCTTCCTTGTCTGTCATGGTCAGTAACCATCTTGAATTCAATGGCCGAACTTCTTGCGTGTTGCCATGATGGAAGTCGCTGAGGGAGAGACCCCATCCTTGAAGTGCGCTTTCTAGGGCATGAAGCGTTTTGATTGGCGCCATTCTAGTGTCTTTGCCCCTTTTGCGCGACTCCTTCATGGCGCTGATGGCCTTAATCAAAGGCAGTGAAGCAGTTGCGTTGGCAAGGAAGTACAGTCCGCGCCAAATCTTAAAACAAAGTATATACTGGCGTGGGAAAATCAGTGCTACCAAACGGCAGCCTTGGCCTGCAAGTTCGCAACCTCCTCTGCAGAAGGCTCCAGCCCCAAGGTCACCATGAACGCCGGCTGCACCTAGCAGCAAATCCGAATTACGCCTTGGGTCTAATGAGCAATCACGCAACCTGAAATTGAATGAACAACTTCACGCACACCTGCCATGTTTTTTTGCCGCACAAGCATTGATATGAGCTTGGAGTCTGTTCGCACACGCGAAAAGCTGGCCGAGGTTGCCGATTCCCTCTGAACATGCTACTGGCCTGCTTGAGCTAGATACAACACAAAGGCAACCCGGACCCTTGCTTTAATCAAACTGCGTGCAAGCGTCGGACTACCACCCGCCTGAGGACTCAGGACCCGCTAGAAGTGGCCACTCAAAGCTTTGAAGGGGAAGTGCCAATGAGGTGGGATGGGGAGGGAATCCTGCACCAAATCGACAAGGAATCCAGTTTGTTGTTCAAAGCGGCACGGCTTGCCAAAGAGGTTCCTTATTTGATCATCATGCGAGCGGGCCATAGGATGTTCGCAACGTGGCTCATCTCATTGTCGAGCACGCATTTTTTGCCAAGCTGAGGCTGAAAGGGTCACGTTATCTTTTCTACACTGCTTCTT